ATTCAACCAAAATGCTAAGTTGTTTCCTCTGCACTTCATCCGTTTGTTCAGCTTTGCTTTTGTTCAGGCACCTCAAACTAATTCATGGAATGTATCCTGGGAAAAATCTAAGACTGAAATGTGGTCAAGCAGGTTGTTGCTTGCAGTTCTCTGAACTTCAAAAATTTGACCGTTTCGCTTGCAAATAAACACCAGTTTGCAGTAGCATATCATTGGGAATGCTTGTCTTTAAAGGCAGTTGAGTCTGGTCCAGTCAAAATGTGTTCACTTGAGACACTTGAATTTTCAGAAAATATAACTGCATCTCTCCACGTTGATTCACAAGCCACTGTCAATCTCACAAAGTGGGTAAGATGTTGTGGTGTTGAGTATCGTGTTGGACTCTTTGTTTGCACGGGTACTGATGAAAACATGCCAGTTTTCAGCAAAATAACCTCAATCATTTTACACAATGGTAAAGTGTTTTTTGTTTTGATTGAGCATGAAACATGTTTCCATGATCACTTCCATGCTTTTCAAGTGACTGAAAACCTACCAATGAAGGTACTGGTTATAGAAAGGGAAAGATTGAGACATTTCAAATCTTTTGATGCCCAAATGTCATACGGGTGTGATTCACAATTTTATGTTGTATCAGAGAGTTGTATTATCTGATTTCTTATTTAAATGAGTTCACTGTGAAGTTGTTCCTTGTTACTTCATCTGATGTGTAAGTGTCTACCTCAGGTTAAACAATCCTGCACTACTTTTTAAAAAAATTTTTTATGTAATCCTGCCGGCTTGATTTTATATACTGCAGTGATGTGTTGACAATGTTTTATACAATTTTACTAAGCAGTTTTAGTTGGCACTCTGTTAGCTGCCTACATGTATTAAATGTAAACGTTTTGCTGTTAGATTTTACAGTATTTTATGACGGCAATTAATTTCAAAGTGTGTCCATGCATGCAATTTCTAAAGCTAATGTATGGATTTGCTTAAATTAACTGGAAAATTAGTGTTTACTATTGTCATTTTGCATTATTGACACACTATTTTCCTAATTAATGCTGTTCAGTTGCTTTGACACAATCTGTATTGTTAAAAGCGCTATATAAATAAAGGTGACTTGACTTGACTAGTATATACCTCAGGAGTACCTCAAGGCTCAGTACTAGGGCTGTTACTTTTCAAGCTGTACATGTTGCCCCCGTGAGATATCATCAGGAAACATGGTGTTAGCTTTCACTGTTATGCTGATGATACTCAGCTCTATATTTCTTTGCAGCCCGGCGAAACATACCAATTTGAAAAACTAACGGAATGCATAGTCGATATAAAAAAACTGGATGACGAGTAATTTCTTACTGCTAAATTCTGAAAAAACAGAGGTGTTAATTATAGGACCTAAAAACACTGCATGTAATAACCTAGAACACTGTCTAACACTTGATGGCTGTTCTGTTATTTCTTCGTCACCAGTTAGGAACCTAGGTGTTCTATTTGATAGCAATATTTCCTTCGAAAGTCACATTTCTAGCATTTGTAAAACCACAATTTTCCATCTCAAAAATATATCTAAATTATGACCTATGCTCTCAATGTCAAATGCAGAAATGTTAATTCATGTGTTCATGACCTCAAGGTTAGATTATTGTAATGCTTTATTGGGTGGTTGTTCTGCACGCTTAATAAACAAACTCCAGATGGTCCAAAATGCAGCAGCTAGAGTTCTTACTAGAACCAGGAAGTATGACCATATTAGCCCCGGTTATGTCAACACTGCACTGGCTACCTATTAAACATCATATAGATTTTAAAATCTTGCTAATTACTTATAAAACCCTGAATGGTTTAGCACCTCAGTATTTCAACAAGCTCTTGTTACATTATAGTCCTCCACGTCCGCTGCGTTCTCAAAACTCTGGCAATTTGATAATACCTAGAATACCAAAATCAACTGCGGGCGGCAGATCCTTTTCCTATTTAGCGCCCAAACTCTGGAATAACCTACCTAACATTGTTCGGGAGGCAGACACACTCTGTCAGTTTAAATCTAGATTAAAGACCCATCTCTTCAACCTGGCTTACACATAACACACTAATACGCTTCTAATATTCAAATCCGTTAAAGGATTTTTAGGCTGCATTAATTAGGTCAACCAGAACCGGGAACACTTCCCATAACACCCGATGTACTTGCTACATCGTTAGAAGAATGGCATCTACGCTAATATTAGTCTGTTTCTCTCTTATTCCGAGGTCACCGTAGCCACCAGATCCAGTCTGTATCCAGATCAAATGGTCACTGCTGTCTCCCGGATCCAGTACGTATCCAGCCCAGATAGTGGATCAGCACCTAGAGACGACTTCTAGAGCCCTGAATGTCAGCGGAGACCAGGAAAACTAGATGAGCCTCCTTGCCGCTGTTGCCTCTGGATTGCTTAGTTGGGAACAGTTAATTTCCAGCGAGATCGTCGACTTGATTGCACAGATACTATTTAAACTGACCTGAGCTGGATGATGACATCACTGAATTCAGTGATGAACTGCCTTTAACTGAAAATTGAGTGTTTACTATTGTCATTTTGCATTATTGACACACTATTTTCCTAATTAATGCTGTACAGTTGCTTTGACAATCTGTATCGTTAAAAGCGCTATATAAATAAAGGTGACTTGACTTGACAATGTAGGTGAGTTTGGTTCTGTCTCCTTGTTTCTTGGTTTCATGTATTTTTGTCCCTTTGTTATTATATTATTAAACTAGTGCATTTGGATTCAACTCTTCCTTGATTCTGAGTATTTTTGTTTACAATTTCCTAATACTGATTATTAATGGTCTTAATTATTTGACATTTTAATCATCATTTATGTATTTATTTCACCTGGAAAAAATATAAAAAATCTAATGTAGCTTGTGTTCATCTTTCCATCTAGACTTATAAATTACGAGCCAGAAGGGTCAAAAGCCATTCTAAGTGGTCAGCAGTCTTCTGCACAGTGCCATGTGTCTGTACAAACAACGCTTGTTGAACCATTTCAACCCACACTCGGAGCTCAGTATTTTGTTCTTGGCAAAATTGAAAAGACTGATGGTGAGTTTGAGTATGATGTATAGAGTAATATAAATAAGCCGTAGTTGCAGACTGCTGTGAGTCTAAATCTAGAAGCATTTTGGTTGTTTTTGTATTCAGAATGTGTGTGTGTGTTTATCCATTGTTTTTTTATGTTTGTTTTTTAACCAGAATTTTCTGTTGCTTTTTCTTTCAGGATTAAGTGGAGTTATACTGCATGCTGATGCTTTGAGAAGTGTTGATGGCGTAGACCTCACATTAATGCAAAAGGCCATTATGGAACAGAGATGTTTCTTTAAGGAAAGAATGCCTGAGATTTGTGCAAGCTCCGCACTGTGAGCCGTCATGTGAAAAAAAATACTGTGAAATATGATTACAATTTGAGAGAATGACTTTGTGTCAACTTCTCAAAAGCATAGGACTATAATGTTTATTTACAGAAAGTAGATGTGAATCATAA